TGCAACAAGTGTCCACAGTGCACAAATTAAAAACTATTTTGAACAGTAATGTGAACAGTATTGTGAACGAAACATGGATCACGATGAGATAATGGAACGAATGAAGATGGAGTACGATGAAAGCAATGTATTGCATACTAGAAAAGATGCGATACACGTTCTAGGAAAAACCGCGACAGAGAGAGACACAAGTATGCGAATATCACCGGTGCAATTTCTACGCGATCGAGAGTTAGGAATATGCGGCCAGCGTGTCATGGAACAAGCAGAAATTCATTCACAACGAGCCCGTTTGTTCCTGGCTTTTATTCGAGCGACAGAAAGTGTACACGCGATTATTCAACAAATATTGTGAGAATTATGACTTTGAAAATAGATATAAAACTCGCAGTTTAACAGACAATGACTTTTTTTGTGTATCGAAAATCGCGATGCAGACCGTTTATCACTGCTACAGGAAAATTACGATTCCCACAGGTGGTGAAAAAATAGCCATTCTGTTGATAGGTGGTGATGCAAATATGCCATCTTATTACAGCGAGGAGGATCCTGCTTTAAAAGAAAAATATTTTCATGACATGTGTGATGATGAATGCTTTGTGTGTGAACCATGCTGTTCCGCATTGGAAAAATATTACATGGCGCGAATGTACCATGCAATTATAGATATGGAGCGGTGGTGCAACGTGTGTGAACGAGTCACGTGCAAGTGCTCCGTGGAAGAGTGCAACGTGATCTAAAGACTGTGAAAAAGACATGGAAAATCACGAGCGAGTGGAACGCGAACTGCTGGAGCAGTGCGGTCAGGTCGCTACTCTGGCGGAGTGTTTCGCATGGCTGTAACGATGCGACGAGTGCATCCAGCAGCTGGAAGAACTGTGTCGTACCAAGCGTCCGCGCCTCGCCGTCGGACAGAGACAATCCGCGGTGGTGAGGATCGCGCAACTCGCGGGTGCAAAATCGCAATTAGAGCGACGTTTCGTGCACGTTGGTGGCGAGTACGCGGGTAGCG